CATTGGAGCCTCATCCGCCACTACTAAAATATACTGAGATACATTATCCTGACCCGAACGCACACTTGAATGGGTACAATATGTGGATTTGGTAAGTATTTACATAGATACTGATGTGGGGGACTACCTCCTCCTTCTCCTCTTAATAACTTTACACAGACACACTCCCTTGCTTCCGTAAGTATGTCGTTCCGTTACTATACATTTATTGTCATTTATCATGATTCTACATGTGCCAATATCACCCATCCTGGAGGTCAATAGAATATTCTATATCCTGTGAAATCAGTCAATAACCCAGCTTCTAGAGCATATAAAATTATAATAAAATCTGTTAAATTCATGAATAAATATGTACTATCCACGTACCAACTTTCAGACTTTCAGATATACATTGAGTGGGGTATCCAGAGTAGGTCTCCTGGTGTACCTATACCCCCCCTCAGATATACTACACCCAGACACCCCCTGGCATTATCAATGGTACTATTCTTCTCAGGCATGTATTCCATGATTTTTGGCCAAGCTAAATGGCCCTAAATGTGCCCGAGGATGCATGGGTGCACCATGCATTATAGTAGCCAAAATCGTGTTTGCCATATCTCGACGAGTTTTCATCCATTTCATGTGATAAGAAGGTCTACAGGAAGGTATCAATGTACCCAACGTTTCGCTCAGCCAAAGCTAAGCAAAATAATGCGAGGGGGAGCCGGAATTATGCACAGATGTGCAGCCATCAAAGATTTGCCTAATTTGGTAAAACACATCAAACCCCGCTGTGCACACTATTCCCTGCTGTGTGGCGCACCCCATAATTCATAATAAATGCTCAAAATATTCCTGAAGCACCCTCCACTATAGATAAACAGGTCCTCAAAGTTTCACACCAAAATATTAAGTCTTCAATTTGATATTCAATTGTTTTGTATTAAAAATGCAAAAGACTCTGGATTTTTTGCGTAATTTGCCTTTTACGGCCACGCTGCCCCATCCCGCACCCCGTGGGAGCCATGATAATTATTAGCATTCATGTCTGCACCCGCCCAACCCATTTTTAGGCCCCTGCGGCACCCGGAATGCACCCCTACCATCCCACCCCATTATAATAGCCCCTATCAAGTATGCCCCACAGCCCTCGGCTGTGCGGGGTGTGGGAAATAATTTGATAAATTGCAGATAAATGTATTTATCTAATCTACATTCATTATCTAATTTTTGGAGCCATGGGAGAGCCGGAATTACCTGAAAAACACTTTTTTAGGCTGTATTTGGTGGTATTTACATTAGTAATCATTGGTGATGATGCACACAGGTGCGCCATCAATCACGTGATTTTTCGGCTATTTTTGCCGAATTTTCCCGTACCCTTTTTCAAGGTTGCTCACTGTGTCGGACAGTGAGCAGGGGGTTGCATACAAAAAATGAGTGTGACAGAGAGTCCAGCAAATGGGAAATTCTCCATGTTGGACAATTGCCCAAAAGGACTCCTGTCCACCCTGATGCACCTGGGTGCTTGGACAACTGCCCAAACCTGAAGCTTTAATGTAGCAGCCATGGCTGTCAGGCACATGTGAGGCCCAATCCCTCTGTGACCATGATTCGCCAACACTATCCAGATTCTTCTGGGAATACATTTATTGTCGATACGGAGCCCTGCAACTGGTGATCACTGATAATGGATCCAAAGTCCAAGGAGCATTCACATCACTGCTCAACCGCATGAAGCTGCCCCAAGTACGTATTCGAACATACAATCATCATGCAAATGGAGTTGTGGAGCGTGGACACTTTACCATGAGAGAAGCCATCATCAAAGCATGCAAAAATAAGATTGGAGAATGGCCAGACAATGTTGCAGCTGCAGTATTCACCAATAGAGTGACCATCAGCAAGGTTACGGGATTCTCTCCTTTCCAGCTTCTTCATGCCACAGACCCTGTATTGCCATTAGACCTTGCCAAAGCTACTTTTATGATTCAAGGATTTCAGCCAGATATGCCTACCAGTGACTTACTAGCATTGCGAATTCGACAGATGACCAAGTATCCACAAGATACTTGGTGTTGTGGGCCATTGCTTTGCATGGCGGTTACGAGTTCTTTTTTTCTGTCTTATGTCTTTATCCATCACTTTTATTGTGCTACTTAATTCATCCCTACTATCTACATACAGCAAGTCTACTAATAGCATACCTATGCCTTGGCATATATGGCGCATACAGCACGCCTCAAATTGCACTTCATCAGCTTTTTATCAGTATATTCTGCCACAGCACCTCCAGAATACAATTTCTCTCAGTTTCAATTCCATCATAATACCAGACATCTCCTATATCTGAAATAATACAGGCTGTGAAATGATTAGAGCCAGCATAGATCACACCTCGCAGTGGAAGAATGTGCTTTCTTCCATCAATAGTATGTGACTTGACTGATTTGCTAATTGCAATTCCTGTAACCTCAATATTGAATACAATGATCTTTGGAGGTACATTGTATAGCCGCTGGACTTGTGCATTTGATCTACAAGTTTTGCAATGTTCCTCTGAGGCCTGCCAACTTTTAAAGGTAGCACTCACAGTTTTGTCAGCTGATGACTGTATAAAAATACGACTCTGAGGAGCAGTATCCAACTCTGTAGTAGAAGAACAAGACTTGCATATTTTTTGTCCAGTCCCAAGCCGTTGTCCATCTTGAAAGAGTGTGCCTACCAACTCACGTACATCTGTTCCAGTCATCCCATAAGGGAATGCTTCAGGACTTCTGGTATGTAGATTCTTTCTGACTCTGTCACGAATTTCTTCAAATCCAGCTCTGCCACATATAACTTCTGAAAATCCATTTGAAAGCTGCTGGCCATAGGGAAGATATTTTGATAGATGGAACGACCACTTTGTTGGACCTCTGGACCAGAGGTAAAAGAGAATAGTGAAGAGAGAATCATATGAGCAGCTATAGTCTACAGAGTCCCATTTCAAGCCAAGAGGCATTTCCTGAGACTTATTCTTTGTTTTCTGCTGTTTAGCTGGTTTAGTATCGTTGTCAGAATTCAATTTCCGCTTCACAGTCTGTTTTGCTGCAGTAATAGGATTGGATCCTTGAGCAGGAATGTAGTTAGCAAGCATTTGTTTAGAGTCTGTACTGGCCTTGATAGCAGTAGTCCATTTTGCATCATCAACAAGCTCAATTACCATCATTGGATCAGAGGAGGACCATTGTAGAGCAGAATCAACCTTGATAGGACAGTAGTTTTGTTCCTTCAACTCTCTGTACTGCTTGAGAAGAATTTCATGGAGAGATCCATTGATTTCTTTTGGGAGCTTTCCTGGAAATCTCTGCAGAGTAATCTCATCTAATAGTTCAAGCTCTCGAAATTCCTGCCTTAGATGGCCTGATGCTCCAGCCTTAATGCACTCATCATCAAATCCCTGAATAATTATTGTACCATCTGCAGTAGACCCTCTAGAAAGCGCTGTATAATATGCCATGTGGTTATGACAGCTGTTTAGATTAACAACATTGAATTTTCGGGTCTTTCCTTGAGATGAGTAGTCTGTCATTGCAAAATTGGGCAATATTGAAACCTGTGAACAATTAATTGTCAATGGCATTTTCAAACCTTTGCATTCAACACTTCCAGATAATCTTGTAAGTAGCACTACATTCTCAGGCAATCCTTCCAGCTGAATAGTATGGGCTGGATTGTCCAGGTGAACAAACAAGGTATCCAAAATCTGCTGGCCACTAGGCCCTACACCTGACTGCCAGCCTGCTACAAAACCTTCTTGGCCTTTGGTGATGCACAGCTCGGTAGCATCGTTGTTGCAAATAATCACAGGCATGCCTAGACACAGTGATAGCTTACTGGCAACGCCTTCAGTAGCAGAATGTCTTAAATTCCAAATTACATCTTGGAGTCTATCTGGAATGGATACCTGCTTTCTCCGCTTTCTTTGCTGCATTGAGCAGAGTTCAACAATATCTGCCTGAGAATTATCACTCATAGTATTGATAGAATAGAAGTGGGTAAGCTGCTGTCCCGTCTCCTCAGCGAATCGTTGACTGCCGAGATGGTTAATCTGGTCTTTCTCAGTGTTAAGGCCTACAATAATGGACACATTGCAGAAATTGCTACTGCTGATATCAGGTTGGCCAGGTTGCTTTCCAGCAATTCTTGTATGAAGAAAGTCAATATCATCAAGAGTGCATGCTGCATAATGCATATTTTCCAGTGCAGTTCAGAGCTTCTTGTCTTCTGGAGATTGCATCTTCTGTCTCATATTTTTCCATAGAATAACCATTGTTGTAATCTGGTGCCACAGAGCCTTTCCAATTGCATTCTGTTGGCCTGCCTCAGTCATTGATGAATCAATGGTAGTACCAACAGTTGTGCTATACAATGCTGCTCCCCGGACAGGTGCTAGCTGGGCAAAATCTCCAGCAAAAATCATATTCACTCCACCAAATGGAGAGTCATAATTGTCTCTTACCTTTGCAAGTTGAGAGCTAATCTTATATATGTCCATGCAAGATACCATTGAGACTTCATCAAGAAATATGTAGTCAGTACCATCAAGATGTTCGCGAACTTGAGCTAGCAGCTTATGCTCATTCATTTTCCAGGTACCATCTGACTGAATACCAAGTGCAGAGTGATAAGTTGAACCATTTAATAATGCAGCTGCAGAGCCTGTTGGGGCTAAGATTAGTATTCAATGAGACTCCTTTCTCTTTGCAAAGAACGATATCAATGCTTTAATAACCTGAGACTTGCCTGTACCACCCATACCTCCAAGATACATCTTAAGCTGCTCAACTTTTAAGAGTGTAGCATGATTGGCTACTATATGAAATGCCCGCTCTTGCTCTTCATTCAAGGAGAATTCACTGACGGTCTCATCAATAAAGGTTTGCTCCTCAGCTTGCTTGGCTTTGAATTTCTTATCAATATAAGACATTGGAGAGACAACAACTTCATCTATGTATCCATCTCCAGCCTCAATGTCTTCAGACTTTGATGAACTGCTAGGAAGATTCCCCTACTTCGACCCCAAAGGCTTGAAGATCATCCAGAAGGTGCTTGAGAAGGCCCTCCGTACCTCGGTTCACGCTGAGGTCTTTGCGTATCTGAGCACCAAGCCTCGGATCGACCGCAACTCGGCGCACTCGACTTCGTGTACCGTGTATTGCAACATCTGGGATTCCCAGCAGGGAACCCATGCCAAGAAGGCCCTTGGCCAACCGATCTTCCTTGCTGGACGGTCCTGTGCAATCAGGCCAGCTGCATGACACACCGGGGTCCCGCTCTGCCAGTGCTGCTGGAAGTGGGGCCATCCTACCGTTGCCTGCAGGGCGAAACAACTCTCTTGCCCTATCTGTTCAGGTCCACATGAGCAGAAGGAGCAGCGTCAACATGCGGGATGTTGCAAGGGGAACGCGAAAGCGAAACCCCCTGTGCTGCCCACCCCTCGTGACCAGCCTTGCCCCCACAAGGGCCGCTGTGTCAACTGCCACAAGGACCACACCACCAATTCAGCTTCGTGTAAGTTCTGGGCTCATCACTACGACCATGAGTGGATCATGGCCGAGTATTGTCAGGTACATGAGCATGCTGCTCGCCGCCAACTTACTAACCCCCGAACCTAGACTAATGAAGGGAAACCCTCAGGATCTAAATAGTGGGCTACATATTTACTGTCAGAATGTTCGTCATACCTATGCGCATGTAGACACCCTCCTCAAACTTTGTAAAACAAAATTTGATATCTTATTCTTCCAAGAAACCCCTTGGAATTTCATAAGACACGCACCGTCCACCATTAGTATGGAGGGCGATGAGGTTATCGGCACACCAAAGCATCCCGATTGGCTGCAAATGGTGTGCATTAAGAAAGGGGAAACTCCCCACGTGATCGCCTATGTCTCGACTAGACTTTCCCGCTATCATCCCACTATGCACCGCAACATCGTCGACCATCATGACATTCTCGTCCTCTCCCTCTTTAGCGGGGGCGAGGTTCTTAATCTAATGAACATCTACTCTGACGATCAACACACAGCCATTGAGCACCTCGCTGCTCGTGTGCATTCTCTGCTGCCTTTCATCTATATAGCAGGCGACTTCAATTGCGTGTCGACGACTTGGGATGACTATGAGCATGGCGAGTCGTCGACAGCAATATCCCTGCAGGACACTGCATCTCAGATCAGCCTCGAGTGGGCACGACCTTCCAACCATGGACTGACAAGGATCAGTCCTAATCCAAACCAGAGATCCAATGTGTTGGATCTTGTATTCTTAGCTCCATCTGAGATCTTAATCTTGATGCCCAGATTGGAGCACGATCTCCAGGGTCCATCAGATCATATCCTGATCTGCATGGATCTTGATGTAGGTCCCGAACCACCCGGATCTGGGCGACAGACAATTAAACCTGGAAGTGAGGCTGAGAAGTCTTTCATTTCGGACATTCTCTGGGATCTTGCAGCTATTCCTGTTGCAGCCCCGGCAACCAAGGAAGGTGTTGAAGCTTTAGCCAATGCTATCATGACAGCATTCTCGGATGCATGGCTTGCCCACTCGACCAAGTCCAAACCTACCAAGCGCTCCAAGTCCTGGTGGACGGACAAGTGCTCAGAAACATTTGGAGTATATCAGCTAAGCCGCTCGCTAGCTGATTACAACAAATTTAAGAAGGTGTGTAAGGACGCCAAACGTGACTTCTTCAATGAATGCATTGCAGAAATTGCCACTTCTCGCAAGCGCCTGTGGGACCTAATGGAATTGGTCAAACAGCGCAAGCTACTGCCCTGTGAGGCTATTCACAATGGCAACCAGCCCTGCCACGATATGGACGACCTCTGGGATGCCCTCCACAGCACACACAACTCGGCCTCTGGTCGCGAGTATGATGCTTCAGTCTTAGACGAGCTTCCTGATGAGCCAGTCCGTGAATGGGCTGACTTTTCAGAGCATGAGTTGTTGAGTGCCCTTAAGGAGTGCTCCAACTCCTCTGCGCCAGGACCAGACCATGTTACATGGGTCCACCTGAAGGAGTTGCTCAAGGATAAACACGTCCTTGTGCTCTTCATCATGCTGGCCAATGCTTGCCTTCAGGTGGGTCATTGGCTGCGTATATTCAAGGAGTCGCTGTCGGTTATCGTTCCGAAGCTGAACAAGCCCTCCTATGCTGTGCCAAAGGCTTTCAGGCCAATCGTACTCCTCATCACTTTTGGTAAACTTATTGAAAAGATGATTGCCAATAGGATACAGTTTGATGCTGTCAAGCATGATATCTTCCATCCTAACCAACTTGGCGGCATTCGCCAAAGGTCAACTGAGGATGCTGGATTGATTCTGACCCATCTCGTGTGAGCGGGGTGGGTTAAGGGTCTCCAGACTAGCGCGCTGGCTTTTGACATCACGCAGTTCTTCCCTTCCATCAACCATGAAATGTTCATGGCTGTTCTTCGCAAGCAAGGATTCTCACCGATCTTGGTGGAGTTCTTTGCCTCGTATCTAGTTGGTCGGTCCATGGTTTACTGTTGGAACACCTTCCAGTTCGACTCACGGTCTGCAGACATGGGTGTTGGGCAGGGCTCTGCCCTCTCACCCGTTATCTCAGGGCTTTTCATTGCTCCGGTGATGAAGCTCTTCTACATCAAGGCGGCACCGCTCAACATGACGCTACTCTCCTTTGTGGATGATGGGACCATTTTGGCCCAATCCAGACAACTTGATGATAATAATGTGGGCCTGCGTAAGGCCTACAAAATTATCTACCTTCTCTTTGTTGCTTTCACACTTGTTCTTGAACATGACAAGACTGAGTTGTTCCACTTTTTGCGTTGGCGCGACGCCTACAATCCCTTGCTGGATCTGGGGTACGCCCCGCATACCGGCGCTACACCTTTGAAGCCCAAGACCTATTGGAGGTAACTGGGATTCTATTTTGACTGTGGGCTCACTTTCCATGAGCACGTCCGCTACTATGCCACTAAGGCATTCACCACTGTGCAGGCCATGCGCATGCTTGGAAACTCCACCAGAGGTCTCTTGCCTAAACAGTGGCACCTCCTCTATAGATCGTGTGTGGTTCCCATTGCCACATATGGATATCATCTCTGGTATTTCAACAGCGCCCGTAATAAGGGCACAATGAACCAGCTAAAATGGATGCAGCGAAAAGCTGCTCTATGGATCACGGGTGCCTTCTGCACCTCCCCTACAGGCGGTCTTGAGGCCTTGGCAGGTCTCATCCCCATCCACCTTATGCTGAAGAAGTTGGCAACGCGCACAGTGTATTGCGTCGCCACACTCTCAGACACCCATCCTCTTCACTCCATGATGGGCGAGGGACTCCTTAAACGGGCAGAACCACACACCCACTCAGCTGCCTTGATGACCCCAGCTATGCGAGGGAAGGTCAAGAGCACTGTCATGGAGGTGGACAAGCACATCCACACCTTAACTGAGAGCTTCGAGCCCTTTGCGCCCGAAGCTCACCCAGGTGATCAGTTACTGGACCGCTATGCGGACCGTCTCCACTTTGATGAGCGTGATCCTACCCAGGATAGGTGACCATATCTCGACGAGCTCATCGCAAAAGCAAGGGCCGATCCTTTAACAGTACTGGCTGCAACTGATGGCTCTGTCCCTCAGTCCAACCAGTATCAGGCGACTTCAGTTGCCATCATCTACAAGGGACATCACAAGCTCGAAAGGACTTGCTATGTCTCTGGCAGAGTTACCGCCCTGGATGCGGAACTCAATGCCATTGCGTGTGCAGTGCGCCTTGCTGTCAAGCAGGCAAACTGCCAACATATTATGGTCTTTATTGACTCCATGGGCTCAGTCCATAAAGCAGTGGACCCCTCCGTACACTCTGGCCAGGCTTTCAGTCTGTCAGTCTGTCATGCTCTCCAAGAGTGGTTCAAGGCAGACAATCTCCGCTGCATCACCTTCGTCTACATCCCATCCACTTTGCGGTGGGATATCCATGGTGAGGCACACAAGTACGTCACCAAACTTAAAGTCAGGGTTGGACGTCGCAAGACACACAACTCTATAGATGCACTGTGCTCCTGAGCCGCGCACTCAGTCCTGGACTCATGGAGTTCCACTTTCCAGGATCCAACCTACAGGGGCTCTGAATTTTTAGAGCTTCAACAGCCTGACGGGCGGCCGCTACAGCCATCGTACCTCAGTGGGGGACCTTGGCTTTCAACCTTCAGACACAGTATCACTGAGTTCGCTCGCATTTGCCGGTGCATAACTGGCCACATGCCCATTGGAGCGTATTACCGTCGCTTCAAGATCAATGAGCCTCACGGCTGCACTTGCAGGGCTGCATTGCAGTCCTGTCAGCATATCCTCTTTTGCTGTCCTGATAGATACTCTGTACATTTTCCCCGTTTTCTCGGGGATATTGCATCATTTATGAAGTACAACCCTATGGCGTTTGGCTTCAACCGGGACCCCTCGGGTGTTGGATAATCGCTTCGGGTGGGGTTATTCCTCCTTTTGGAGGATTTATCGGTGAATTGACACCCTCAAACCTTAGGGTTTGGAGACCTGCGCCCGTGACAACTCTTTTGTGCAGGCGGTTGACCCTTTTTTGGTTGATTGCGGCACTGCTAACTTTCTGCATCTGGTTTCGGGCAGGCGCATCTTTGGCTTGTCGGCCTCAAGACACCCTGCCACCTCCTGGGTGGTGCTTTTCTTATCTCATTTGTGCTGCATGGCCTCTGAACAGCAATTGACGACTTTGGGGCATAGCAGAACCTCAATGGTTTCCTCCCCTTATCCCAATGCACCGTTTTCATGAGGTGGGTTGCCCTCTGGGGAGTTTTGGCGTTTGAGCCCAAAGGGTCTTGGTTGGGGGGGCGGTCATCCTTTAGTGGTTAACTTAGTAACCAGGCTGTGTAGCATACGTGTTTGTAGATAGCGAGCAGGCTGCCATCGAGCACCGCTATATAAATTGTTGATCAAAAAAAAAAAAAAAAAAAAAAAAAAAGCAAGGTGTACCGCACATGAGATGGCATTGAGTTCCGCATCCAGGGCGGTAACTCTGCCAGAGACATAGCAAGTCCTTTCGAGCTTGTGATGTCCCTTGTAGATGATGGCAACTGAAGTCGCCTGATACTGGTTGGACTGAGGGACAGAGCCATCAGTTGCAGCCAGTACTGTTAAAGGATCGGCCCTTGCTTTTGCGATGAGCTCGTCGAGATATGGTCACCTATCCTGGGTAGGATCACGCTCATCAAAGTGGAGACGGTCCGCATAGCGGTCCAGTAACTGATCACCTGGGTGAGCTTCGGGCGCAAAGGGCTCGAAGCTCTCAGTTAAGGTGTGGATGTGCTTGTCCACCTCCATGACAGTGCTCTTGACCTTCCCTCGCATAGCTGGGGTCATCAAGGCAGCTGAGTGGGTGTGTGGTTCTGCCCGTTTAAGGAGTCCCTCGCCCATCATGGAGCGAAGAGGATGGGTGTCTGAGAGTGTGGCGACGCAATACACTGTGCGCGTTGCCAACTTCTTCAGCATAAGGTGGATGGGGATGAGACCTGCCAAGGCCTCAAGACCGCCTGTAGGGGAGGTGCAGAAGGCACCCGTGATCCATAGAGCAGCTTTTCGCTGCATCCATTTTAGCTGGTTCATTGTGCCCTTATTACGGGCGCTGTTGAAATACCAGAGATGATATCCATATGTGGCAATGGGAACCACACACGATCTATAGAGGAGGTGCCACTGTTTAGGCAAGAGACCTCTGGTGGAGTTTCCAAGCATGCGCATGGCCTGCACAGTGGTGAATGCCTTAGTGGCATAGTAGCGGACGTGCTCATGGAAAGTGAGCCCACAGTCAAAATAGAATCCCAGTTACCTCCAATAGGTCTTGGGCTTCAAAGGTGTAGCGCCGGTATGCGGGGCGTACCCCAGATCCAGCAAGGGATTGTAGGCGTCGCGCCAACGCAAAAAGTGGAACAACTCAGTCTTGTCATGTTCAAGAACAAGTGTGAAAGCAACAAAGAGAAGGTAGATAATTTTGTAGGCCTTACGCAGGCCCACATTATTATCATCGAGTTGTCTGGATTGGGCCAAAATGGTCCCATCATCCACAAAGGAGAGTAGCGTCATGTTGAGCGGTGCTGCCTTGATGTAGAAGAGCTTCATCACCGGAGCAATGAAAAGCCCTGAGATAACGGGTGAGAGGGCAGAGCCCTGCCCAACACCCATGTCTGCAGACCGTGAGTCGAACTGGAAGGTGTTCCAACAGTAAACCATGGACCGACCAACTAGATACGAGGCAAAGAACTCCACCAAGATCGGTGAGAATCCTTGCTTGCGAAGAACAGCCATGAACATTTCATGGTTGATGGAAGGGAAGAACTGCGTGATGTCAAAAGCCAGCGCGCTAGTCTGGAGACCCTTAACCCACCCCGCTCACACGAGATGGGTCAGAATCAATCCAGCATCCTCAGTTGACCTTTGGCGAATGCCGCCAAGTTGGTTAGGATGGAAGATATCATGCTTGACAGCATCAAACTGTATCCTATTGGCAATCATCTTTTCAATAAGTTTACCAAAAGTGATGAGGAGTACGATTGGCCTGAAAGCCTTTGGCACAGCATAGGAGGGCTTGTTCAGCTTCGGAACGATAACCGACAGCGACTCCTTGAATATACGCAGCCAATGACCCACCTGAAGGCAAGCATTGGCCAGCATGATGAAGAGCACAAGGACGTGTTTATCCTTGAGCAACTCCTTCAGGTGGACCCATGTAACATGGTCTGGTCCTGGCGCAGAGGAGTTGGAGCACTCCTTAAGGGCACTCAACAACTCATGCTCTGAAAAGTCAGCCCATTCACGGACTGGCTCATCAGGAAGCTCGTCTAAGACTGAAGCATCATACTCGCGACCAGAGGCCGAGTTGTGTGTGCTGTGGAGGGCATCCCAGAGGTCGTCCATATCGTGGCAGGGCTGGTTGCCATTGTGAATAGCCTCACAGGGCAGTAGCTTGCGCTGTTTGACCAATTCCATTAGGTCCCACGGGCGCTTGCGAGAAGTGGCAATTTCTGCGATGCATTCATTGAAGAAGTCACGTTTGGCGTCCTTACACACCTTCTTAAATTTGTTGTAATCAGCTAGCGAGCGGCTTAGCTGATATACTCCAAATGTTTCTGAGCACTTGTCCGTCCACCAGGACTTGGAGCGCTTGGTAGGTTTGGACTTGGTCGAGTGGGCAAGCCATGCATCCGAGAATGCTGTCATGATAGCATTGGCTAAAGCTTCAACACCTTCCTTGGTTGCCGGGGCTGCAACAGGAATAGCTGCAAGATCCCAGAGAATGTCCGAAATGAAAGACTTCTCAGCCTCACTTCCAGGTTTAATTGTCTGTCGCCCAGATCCGGGTGGTTCGGGACCTACATCAAGATCCATGCAGATCAGGATATGATCTGATGGACCCTGGAGATCGTGCTCCAATCTGGGCATCAAGATTAAGATCTCAGATGGAGCTAAGAATACAAGATCCAACACATTGGATCTCTGGTTTGGATTAGGACTGATCCTTGTCAGTCCATGGTTGGAAGGTCGTGCCCACTCGAGGCTGATCTGAGATGCAGTGTCCTGCAGGGATATTGCTGTCAACGACTCGCCATGCTCATAGTCATTGTCACATCCCATTCCTGAACCCATTGTTCCATTGTCCCATTGTTCATTGTTCTGGTTCATCAATGGGCTTTCCCTTCATTGTTCTATTCATTATTGTCTTTATTGTTCTCTGTCATTGTTCTGCTGGCATTCATTACATAACCTAGATCTTCTCCATTGTTCTCAATAGTATAAGTAGCTAGGTAGTGTACTGGATTCCCCAGCTTGAATCTCAACCTTGACAACCCCTCTGCTCTGTTGTTCATCCTCTGTCTCCTGGGCCTTGGCCAGGATGACTTCTTCTTGTCTCTCCTTTGTCAAGACCAAGGCAGTTCCTGTAAATTGGGGACAACCAGATGATGTGTAGGGGCACAGCACAAGAGCATGCTGAGGCCAAGTCCCTCCCTCTGTTCAGGTCATTACAGTCATCCCAAGTTGTCGATATGCAGTTAAAATTGCCTGCCATATAAATGAAAGGCGGCAGAGAATGCACACAAGCAGCGAGGTGCTCAATGGCTGTGTGTTGATCGTCAGAATAGACGTTCATTAGATTAAGAACCTCGCCCCTGCTAAAGAGGGAGAGGATGATAATGTTGTGATGGTTGACGATGTCATGACGCATGGCGGGACGATAGCGGGAAAGCCTAGTCGAAACATAGGCAATCATGTGAGGGACTTCGCCCTCCTTAACACGTACCATTTGCAACCAATCTGGATGCTTCGGTGTGCCAATAACCTCATTGCCCTCCATACTAGTGGTGGACGGTGCGTGTCTTATAAAATTCCAAGGGGTTTCTTGCACTTCTATAAGCCACGAAAATATATCAGACACTGTATTTTAACAAGGTATGCTTATATGTCAGGACTGTGATTTTACAGTCCACCTACGGAGAGGGCCTTGCTGTGTGTGCCGGGGCTCGCAGCTGTGGGTGGGGCATGTCAATACATGCAAACAATGCAGGAAACAGTGCTCGGACACTGTTCTTCGTCGTTTGGGGTGCTCCCGCCCCCATTTTCAATGGGGAAAAGCTGCCCACGATGAGGAAACATATTTCCTCGTCGCTATGCACCGTTTCCCCCATTGTCGGGGGGCAGGAATGGGTGGATTGGGCCAGGTGTGTTTGGATGACGTGGCCTTTTTTCAGGCCCTTGTACTATTTTTAGATTATGGAATGACACATCTCTTGTAAAGCTCTCGCCGTTGTCTGTCACAATGTCCGGCGAGCTCAGGGTACACCAAAAAAATAGCAAAAAATCATATTAAACTGAAATAAAATAAATTCATGGTGCAGGTGGCTCTACCAGCCACCCACTATGTGATAAGGAGAAAATGAGCAGAAACGACACGTTGCAACACGTCGTTTCCGCTCTGGTCTTGGTCCATGCCCTTTTGCAGCGAAAAAATGCAAAAAAAATCATATTAAATTGTACAAAAAAAAGTACAGGATGCGGGTGGCTCTACTAGCCACCTGCTATGGAATATAGGTAAAACGAGCAGAAACGGTGGGCTATGATGCACCGTTTCTGCTCAGGGAGGCGGGTATGGGTCCCTTCTGCCCTCTCTGCCCCCTCCTGTGCTTGTTGGGGCTCCCTCAACCCCTCATGTACTTGTGGGGCCACTTCCACCCCCTCTGCGCTCTCCACCTGCACTCTCCGCCCCCTCTGCCCCTTCGGGTACTTGTTGGGCCTCTTCGGGTGCTCATGGGGGTTCTTCGGGTGCTTGTGCTCCCCCTTCTGCTTGGGCTGCTAGTGGTGGGTGCTGAGCAGGAGGCGAAGGGCGGGGGTGAAACAGCGATGGCGAGCGGCGACAGCAAAGAGCGATGGCAAAGGGCGATGGCGAAACAGCGACGGCAAGAGGGCAAGAGGGCAAGGGCAAGAGGGCAAGAGGGCAAGGGCAAGAGGGTGAGAGGGCAAGGGTGAGAGGGCAAGGTGGGCGAGAGGGCAAGGTGGGCGAGAGGGCAAAGGGCGAAAGGGTGAGGGGCAAGGGGCGAAAGGGTGAGGGGCAAGGGGCAAGAGGGCGACGACGAAGGCAAGATGGAGGGGCAGACAGCAAGAGGGCTAGGCAGAGGACAGGGCCGAGGCAGACGGCGAGGGCGAGGCAGAGGGGGAACGAGGGGCGAGAGAGGGGCGGACGAGGGGCGAGAGGGCAAGGGCAAGCGAGGCAGAGGACGGGGGCAAGGCAGAGGGTAAGGGCAAGGGCAAGGGTAAGAAGGCGAGGGAAGAGGGTGAGACAGCAGGTGAGGGGTGGACGAGGGGGGCAAGAAGGCGGGGCAGAGGGCGACAGGGCAAGGGAGAGGACAGGGGGAGTGAACGAGGGGTAAGGGCGGGGGTGAAAGGTGCCCCCGCCGTTGTTGTTGTTCCCCCGTCGCCCCCGATTT